ACAGAAAAAAAAATATACAGTTTGTTTAATTTTGAATAATAATTTTAATTATTTTATTTATAATTTAATATTATTCATGGTATAAAAAATTTAAAATTATTAATATAATATTGAGCCATAGGAAAATTATACGTAAAGAATCTATAGTACATGAAGAAGGATGAGTGTCTTATCCTAATAATACTATTGGTACGACTCACTTTGAAATTGTTACAAACGATTTGATCCGATTTGCTCATATGGAGACATGTGAGTTGGAATGTCCTATACAAACAACTTACACGTATAATCCACTTGTTTTGTTTTGTTTCACTTGATTTTAGTTTTGAAGTAAATTTTAAAACATATAGCATAAAATCATTTTCAAAATAAACTTAAAATTTTAAAATATTTAGAGTATTTGAATTTAAATTAGGTAATTGAGAAGTTTATGTCCAGAGATTATAAAAATAATTTCAAACAAATTGATATATATTGATATTAGGGCATGCAATTTTTTGGATTCATATAATAATTGGGGAGCGTGAGTCAAGTTCAATTGTATGTATATAGAGCCAACTTGCCTATACATTAGACTAAATTATTCAGCTCGACTTTGTCTCTACTCTACGCCAAGATCTCTTATGTGCAACGTTGCATCTCAGTCATCATCTTGGTTTCCATTGACCAACTCATGCATCATGATGTCATCTCATGTTTTAAGACAACTATCTTGGCTTGTTTGAACATGTCTATTCAAATCAACCCAGGTATAGTTCATCTTGTTAGGACATCACAAACATTCATCCATTTAGGTTCTTATTGAGGCATGAACTCTCTCGTGTCCGTTTCATGTTATTTATGGACTCCCTACTGAATAGTAGGTGTATATACCAACCTTTGACACATGGTCTAGGTCACAATATCGACACACCCACGCTGTTCAAAATTGTCCTTGACAGACCCATTTAAAAGAAGTCGCTCAAGATGCTCGTCTTGTAACATTCGCCCACGTCGTGACACACATATGTACCATGAGGTAGCTCACTTAGACCACAAGGCCCAAGGGTGCTAAACACCATGCTTACCCTAGAGTACATTTTGAGACATTTTTAATTTTTTTTTTTATATAGAGTAGACGTGATTTTGGCAAGCAGTCATATGACCACGTGGAGTGTCCGTCGGGTATCTGATTGACATCAAATTTGGTGAGTTTTCATGCTTAATATAGACGGACTTAACTCCAAAAATGCCATCGAAACTTATATCAAAACCCAGACTTATGAGGTCCTACTTACCCTATTTGAGCTTATCTTTGACACTCATGTCGCCTCGTTATCTCCAACTTTGTTTATACCTCAACTTGATTTTAACACATACTCTTCTCGATGTGTTAGATGATACATAGTCTTCCTCGATCATATCATGAAACTTATTTATCTCGACTCTCATGTGTCTTGGATAGGCGCCACCCTTTTCTATTCCCATGTTAGTCACAAACTTTTTAGTAAGGTTACGACAATAGACCGACAGCAAAGGGTAAAGAGTGGGCAAAAGAATAGCAATGTTGGTCAGAGTTGGGGACAAAGCAAGGAGAAAATCATAAACGTAGGCGGCTGTGGATATTTAATTACTTTGTTTTTCATCCGAAAATAACCAATTACTAATTTTAAACATAATCTATATTTTACAAAAGTTGGAGTGCAATCGTGTTAATGTGTATATCATGTTTGTGTCCATCTTAATCTATATCCAATTTGTTTCGAAATAGATATAACGACAATTAAGAGTCTTCTTTTTAACGCTCGTAAATTATTTAAAACATAATCATCTTTTTCTCAAATTTTAAAACTTCCATCCAAATTTTAGAATTATGTTTAATGGATGTTTATCATTTTATTTGTTTGATTTTAATCCATAAGTTTTCAAATATGAGGTATTTTATTGACAAAAATAATTCATATAGTAAAGAAGAGCACATAAATAAACTAAAACTACATTTGAACGAGATCGATCTTACTATATATATATTATTAATAATGTGCACCTTTCTTTTCGGTGTTTCTGTTGAGATATAATATTTGGAAATATTTTAGAGTTGGTATTTTTAAAACAAAATATTAATAGTTTAGATCTAAAATTAACCGGAAGATATTTTGATTTTGTTTTTTAAAAGTTTTAAAGATATTTTTAATATATGTATTTTTAAAATTTCTTTCAAAAAGAAAACTCTAAATAATTAAAGGCTAAAAGTTTCTAAAGACTCTAAATTAATCGTGTCCCTTACATCTTTTTGAATAAAAAACAAAAACAATCACATGAAAACTCAAACCTTTTTAATAGAAATCATTCCAACACAATTGTATCCTTTAAAAGGTAAACTAAATGACATGTTTTATTTCATTAGATATAAAGAAAAATTCCAAATCAACCACTAGAATTTGAAGTTTAAAATAAAATGTAGGTCGATAAAAATTTGAGAGTAATAAAATGAAAAAAATGTGAAAGATAGAGCAGATCGTCATGACAAGTAGTACTCCATCATGTTAGGATCGTCATACATCCTTGCCTTTTCTTCAAAATCTTTTTTTGATAGATCGAATATTGAAAATACTCTGAAGAAAAAAAATTTATCTATTAAGGTTAGATACACATATAGTCACAAACATATATCGAAAAACCAAATGACATACAAATCATTCAGAACTTGGTCGACTATCGCCTACCATATATTCATAAATGTGTATTGTCGCACGTCCTACTCATGAAAATTATTCAATTCTCACACTAGTAGACAATTGCCCCCAAGGTTTTAGCCTTAGTCATATGATATATTTTCTTGAATTGTTAAACACTTAGTCTCGACATCAATTAGATATTAACTACCCCATCCAATCCGTGTGCGACACAAGTCGTAACCACAAAAATTCCAAGGTAAAGGTTGCATCTGCTCGGGCTCAAAGGGGGGCCTGCTCGAGCTAACTGCACATGGGATCCCTATTTCAAGCCCGTTCGATGTCCGTTTTTCAGTTTTTCATCCTGGTTTTGATAGTAACCTTAGTTTAATGTTCATTAGGTATCTCTAGAGGAAATTTGGAATTTTTGGACTACTATTCAACTAAAGATCAAAGCTCAACAAGGTATGCGTCAGACTTGTAAGTAATCACACAGACTCCTAGAAAATAATACTTGTAGGGATTGCTTGGATTCGCATGTATGCTAGAACAAGTTGACCCTAGCGATAGTTTAGCATGACCTATACCTAGAAATGTGGAATAAATGCGCAATTATATGCTTTTGTATGCGAAAAAGAATGTGCTAGATCTCGTTTGCCGTATAGTGTCGTTTTGTACTTCTAGTACCAATATCATGCTGTGTTGGAGGATAAGATTTTGTGAAATTAGTGCTCCGGGTGCTTAAAGTATTATGCATAATTAGGCTAAGCTAGTTTAAATTTTTTGAGTTAAGTTTAAAGTATTTATGCATGATGAGGCTTACCTAGTTTAAATTATCAGGGGTAAGTTTAAATTCTTTTATGCAAAACTAGGTGAGCCAGTTCTAATAGTACAATTCTAATCTATGATGTTGAACTTCTAGATAAAATTAAATTTCAAAGAATAGCGTTAGACTAGCATCACGGGTTTGTAGTTGCTTCGACCTAGGACAACCAAGTAAGTGGTCTTTCTATCAGCATGATTAGAAATTGATGTTGTATGATGACACGTGCCCCGTGGTTTTACACGTGTCATATGCTTGATATATGTGAAATGTTTATGAAATGATGTGATATATTTGACGATATGTTTGAGATTTGATACGTGAATGATATATATATGTTATGATATGATATGTGAATGACATGATATATATGATGGTGCGATGCGTTTGAAGATATGATACGTGTCATATGCTTTATGATATGATACATGTACGGTATGACATGATAAGTTGGGAGACACGATATGCTTATGATATGATACACACGACATGCAATAAGATGTTTTGACATGATACACAATCCTGAAATTACATGAAAAGTTATGATAATGATATGATATGAAGGAAAACGCTAAAGGATTTTCATACATGATAATGAAAAGAAAAAAAAATGTTGGAACCTCATGCATCATTGTGTGTACATGCATCGAGGAATACGCTCGTTCTAAGATGGTACGGATACGTACGTTACGAGGCATGAAAATGATCATTATGGTTATCATAATGCTGCGACAACCTGACAGAAAAACAATAATTATGTTTATCATAATACTGCGACGATCAGGTAGGAAAACGATCATTATGTTTATCTTAATGCTGCCATAGTCGCTATTCTTAAATAGGTGTTCGACTTCATTAGCTACCAAAGAATGCTGGCCAGACAAGAAAGGGGCCCAAGAGGTGTGCGAACCGACGGGTGGGTCCATACTCGCACGTGTGGACCGTGTGTAGAATAGTAAATACACATCCAATTAGCTCGTTAAGGATAGCTGCCTAAGGAATATAGACTGATATGATAGGCCCTACTCATAATTGTGTATGCTTGCATCTAACCCCAATATTGGGGTCACTTATCGAGTAGTTCTTAAAATACTCGACCCACATGCTACTTCTATTTCAAGTAAAGGTAAGGCATCCCTGTACGGTTGACAACAACATCCAACTCGAGGCCACGACACATGCATAGGGTAGTCCCATTTATTTTATTTAAGCTAGAATAGGATGTTTGCTTATTCTGCACAAAAATGATTACGTTATGATGACAGTAGCAATTTTAAGTACGTAGAAATCTAGGGTCGTTACAAGTACTTCCTTACCCATTATTTTGGATAGATCTATAGCTAGATACAAGGCATTTTGCCTTTGGATACTTGTTGTGGATGAGATTCGCATTGTATGATAGTTAGTGATTTATTTAGGAGAATTGTTAGTAGTTTTTGTTAGAAGAACATGACTCTCCACAATGGTATGATATTGTCCACTTTGAGTATAAGCTCTCTTTGCTTTGGATTTCCCCAAAAGACCTTATACCAATGGAGAGAGTATTCTTTAATTATAAATCCCATGATCATTCTCTAAATTGGCCGACGTGGGACTTTCATCATCCAACACCTCCCCTCAAACAAAATACGTCGAGACTCGACTCCTTTTATTTTGGAGTTCTTTGTTTGTAAGAATGTTTGATTAATCCACCACACCTATAGGGTGTGAAAGTTATCTTATTTATAATCAAATAAATTAAAAGGATATGAAAATAATAATAAATGGAAATAACAATAAATAGAAAGATACTATGGTAACAAATATTTGCCTTATAATAAAATATCAAATATAATATATATGGTAATCTATGATTTATTACTAAATATCCTTAACACCCCACCGCAAGCTGAGCGTCGGATTTGAACGAACGTGAAGCTTGGATCTGAAAAATTCAAAGAGGTTAAGAAACACTTTTCGTGAAGATGTCAACAACTTGATTCAGAGGAGGCGTAGAGAAACACTTTCTTGGCCATCGAAAATTGAAGAGGGATCGCCGCTTAGCGGCGATGCTGCCTTGGCTTCGGCGAGAATATGTCTAATCCATGAAGAGGGATTGTCGCTTAGCGACGATGCTGCCTTGACTCTGGTGAGAATATATGTAACCCCAAGAAGTAGAAGGGGAAACTTAGAGCAAGGGATAAAGACAATGTTGAAGTCGGAAGAGTCGCCACATTGGGTGAAGGAGCCAATTTTGGCGAGAAGGGCAGCCGTAAGAGTCACCACATTGGGCGAAGGAGCCAATTTTGGCGAGAAGGGTGGCGGCAAATTGGTTGGCGAAGAGGTCGGTGTGGCACCCATATTCCAAAGGTAAATTCCTGCATAAGGTCGATGGGCTTATCGAGATTCTGTATATTGCCGAAGAGAATGCTGATGAAGATCCTAATATTAGGGTTTTTGTGCAGGATGAAGGATGAAGGAAAAATTGGGAAGAAAATGAAAGAGCCTATGTTTGGAAAAAGCGAGGTTGTATGTACAGAGTATGGCGAAGGATAATTTGGAAGTCAAAAGGGTGGAGCCGAAGAGTAATCACTCGGCTCTACATGTAGCAGCCATGACGACTGCCCCTACGGCGTCAAAGCCAGCAGTGGTGGTGGAGAGGAACAGTAGAAGATTTCAAATGCCATTGAAAACGAAGGATACAGGTTGCTAAACCAAAATGACTCTGATACCATAAGAATGTTTGATTAATCCACACACCTAGGAGAGGAACAGTAGAAAATTTCAAATGCCATTGAAAACAAAGGATACAAGTTGTTGGAGCCGAAGAGTAATCATTCGACTCTACATGTAGCAGCCATGACGATTGCCCCTACGGCGTCAAAGCCCGCAGTGGTGGTGGAGAGGAACAGTAGAAGATTTCAAATGCCATTGAAAACGAAGGATACAGGTTGCTAAACCAAAATGGCTCTGATACCATAAGAATGTTTGATTAATCCACACACCTAGAAGAGGAACAGTAGAAGATTTCAAATGCCATTGAAAACAAAGGATACAGGTTGCTAAACCAAAATAGCTCTGATACCATAAGAATGTTTGATTAATCCACACACCTAAATCGTGTGAAAGTTATCTTATTTATAATCAAATAAATTACAAGGATATGGAAATAATAATAAATGAAAATAACAATAAATAGAAAGATACCTCTGGTATAATATTGTCCACTTTGAGCATAAGCTCTCATAGATTTATTTTGGGCTTCCCTCAAAGGCCTTGTACCAATGGAAGGAGTATTCTTTGATTATAAACTCATGATCATTCCCTAAATTAGCCAAAGTGGGACTTTCATCATCCAATCGTTTTAACTTGAGGAGAAAGTTTAGAAAATTTATTGATGTTTTCTCCCCTATAAATATTCCGCAGATGTATGCTGTATCCACCCCAACAAAGAGAATTATTCTATTAAAGAACTTTCTCCCTCGCGTTATTCTTTCTGCTTCATCTATTTATTTCGATACATTTCAATTGTAGACCACATTCAACACGGTCATCTATTTATTTCGATACATATATCAATCGTAGACCATATTCAACTGATGCTTAAGACTTGTAAAACACCAATAGAGATTGGAGTCATTCTAAATAGGGTGAATTGCTTCACTAATAAGAGCTCTCGTGATAGGACGTGGTTTGCACTTGGCTACTAACGGCTGAGCTTTTGGCATAGTGATCCCTTGGCCTTCGGTCATATCAACCGGTGAGCTATCCATTCTTTCCCAATCAAAGCACTGAATCAATGAAGCCAAGGTCAAGCCAACAATGCGTTGAGCCATTCCTACACCGGGGCACGCTCTCCTCCCCAACCCGAATGGTAACAATTTGTATGAATCAGATAACTCTATTGCATTTTCATGCCTCTCTGGCTTAAAACTTGTGACATCTTCCCAATGATTTGGATCTCTATGTATCGCCCAAGCGTTAACAAATACGATCGTGTCACGTGGTACATCATAGCCTTGGATTTTACAATCCGTAGATGCGCAGTGTGGCACAAGCAAAGGAGCTGCTGGGGTCAGCCGCAAAGTCTCTAAGATTATTCCTTGCATATAACTCAAACTCGACAAATCCTCTTCGTTGACTAGACGGTCTTGTCCCGTGCAACTCTCTATCTCGAATCTCGCTTTCTTTATCACCTCTGGATCGTTCAGCAGGTGCGAGAGTGCCCATTCTAATGTCACGGCTGTTGTGTCGATTCCTGCTAAGAGTATAACCTGCAACAATTCATCATCTTAGGATCTCTTGATATTCTTTGTGAAAAAAGTGTTTTGAAAAAAAAAAATACTTTGAAGTAAAAGGCTTACTCTATGCTAAAAATACTTCTACCATACCTATTAAACACAATAGACTAATAACTTCAAATTTACATGTTAAACACTATAATCGACTAAGTCGGTGGACAATATGCAGCTAGCCATGGATGTTAGCAATGTTTGGAAATCGAAGTCGTGTAGGGGTATTTTTAAAAAATTCAAAACAACCCAAATCAAAATAATTTAACCTAAAAGAGTTGAATAGTGTCGATGGGTCACGTTCGTATGAAATACTTTTCTTTTAACGGTGAAAGTTTCAAACTTTATGAAAACGACTTTGAGTGAGTTTAAATGGTGAGACATAGAGAGAAAAAAAAGAGCATTAAACATACATGTATGAGGCCTTTGATAATTTGATCACTGAAATATTCAGATTGTGTGGCCTGCAAGTGAAGCAAATGATCAATCATCGTATTCCCACTTCCTTTTTGGTTCCTAATCTCATCAATCAAGCCATTAAAGATAGCATCAGCTTCTTCTCCAACCTTCATAATCTTCTTCTCAAAACCACTTGGATCAATCCAATTCCATAAGGGTATGAAATCTCCTGGATTTGTTGCCCCAGCATACAACATTACTCTCTTCACAACATCTCTAAATCTCTCCGCTTGTTCTTCATCCGACACATCGTCTCCAAAGTACCTCTTCCCCGCAACCATCCTCATCACAATATTCGACGTAAGATCCATAATCATAGGTTGAACCTCGACAACAACATTATCGTCACGACATAGTTTACACAACAATCGCTTGACTTCATCTTGTCGGATTCCCGAGGACAAATCAAGTCGAGTTGTTGAGAAAATCTCACGAGTACTAATGCGGCGAAGGGTACGCCAAAGCTCACCGTAAGGGGCAACGGCTAGTACCGTGAAGTTATACGTCAAGTGCTTTCCCGTGTTCAAAAATGGTCGATTTGCGAGAACGATGTCGTTGTTTGTGAAGCATTCACGGACGGCGGAAGGAGATGATATGACGACGACAAGACGGGAGCCGAATCGGAGAGAGAAGACATGGCCATGCTTGTTTGAAAGATGGTGAAGGGTCCGGTGGATGGGGTGTTTGAGGAGATGGAGATGGCCTATTATGGGAAGGGAAAAAAGTGGGGTTGGTGGGAGGTTTTTGACATGGCGTGGGAAGAACTTGAGAGCTAAAAGGAAAGTGATCGGAAAGAGGAAAATGTAAAGCAAGATATGAGCCATGGATGATGGTGTTGTTTAATTTGTTGGGTCTATTTCATATTTCATAAAATTTTCAAAATTGTCCTTTCAAATATCATCAAATATCATAGTTAGAATATTAGAGAACATTGGAACTTGAAATGAGTGTAGCCCTTGCTCGAATAATTGTTGTGCGCCGAAAACGGAACAAATGTACTCACAACACCAATGAACGGAATTACACAAAGAGACACCAAGATATTTACGTGGTTCGGAGAGAAAAAGTTCCCCTACATCCATGGGTAGCAACCAATCACTAATCAAATAAAGCGTTTCAAGTGAATACCTCACTATCACACTACAAACACTCTCACCAATATGTCACTCAAGAAATACAATATGACCCACAAAACTCCCCCAAATTCCGATACCACTAATTAGGAATGGAGGGAGAAATCTCTCATTCTATTTAGAATAAAATTTGCTATTAGCTATTATATAGCATTACATCATCAAATCTTGGATATGACTAAATCTAATCCAACTAACAAAACCAAATCAAAACTGATACATATTGTTGTGTATGAATTCAGTTTCTTTCAAGTCAGTGCACTGAAATTTTGACGCTTTGAAACTAGATGAGATTCAAAAGATGAAAGCCTAGACAAATTAAAATAAATGTACCATAAAATAAAATAAGAAAATGCAGTAAAATTAAAATCAATTTAAAGTGGTGATGTTCGAATGCATTGCAAACATGAAACAATTACAAATCCAAATACAAATGATTCAAAATCTAAAAATGAATTGGCCCTTCAGAATGGCTCTTTCTTTGACTACACAACTTTCTGATGCTCCACCACCTTGATCTCCCGCCTAAAAAAACTCAACAAAGAAATGGGAAAAGAGAAACAGGTGAGTATAAAAATACTCGGTAACCAACCTATTTGTAGGCTCTCATTGCATCCTTTACCTAATAAGAGGGCCTAGGTAGTTCTTCCCTCATATCATTTATTTATGCAGTTCTCCGTCTCTTATCAAGGCGGATTCATCTTAGGCACAGTAGTACCTCCTTACGTTGTCTACCTATGTAGTTCATCATTCTCTCTCAAAATGGGTTTACATCTACACACAGTAGCAATTTCCCATGTCACCTACTCATGTAGTCCCTCGTCTCCTCCCAAGGTATGTTTAACTCATTTCTACAGTAGCAGTTTCTCGTATTACCTACTCATGTAGTTCATTGTTTCCTCTCAAGACTGGTTTACAGGTCTTCACTCATTTCTACACACAGTAGTAGTTTCTCGTGTCACTTACTCATGTAGTCTCTTGTCCCCTCTCAAGATGAATTTACGGATCTTCATCTATTTCTACGCACAATAGCAATTTATCATGTTACCTACTCATGTAGTCCTTCGTCCCCTCTCAAAGTGGGTTTACGAATTTTCACCAATTTCTATACATGATAATAGTTTATTGTGTCACCTATTCATGTAGTCCCATGTCCCCTCTCAAGGCGGGTCTACGGGTTTTCATCTGTTTTTACACACAGTTGAAGTTTCTTATGTTCCCTAACTCATGCAGTCCCTCATCCCCTCTCAAGGTGGGTTTACAGGTTTTGACACATTTTTACACCGTGACGATTCCTTAAATTGACATCGCTCATGCTGCTAGAAATAGATGAAGATCCATAGAAAAATATGAGAAACTTGACAATAACATCAAATTCTCAAATCTACGTTACAACAACAAGCTATACCGACCTCTCACGCCAAAGAAAAACTTTGAGTTAAAAATAACAAAAAAGAATAACTTTGCACGTCTATTATTTATTGTCGGCACTTATGTAAGTCTTTAAGGGTATTACATTGCAAATTCATAACCCCTACCCAACAAAATAGAAAAGATATAGGATAGAAATGCTGTTTCATATCTTGCTCATCTTTCTAACAAGATTATGGTAACTTTTCCGTCTTAAGTTTATTTAATTTTATTTTGGTTAATTGACTTACCCATACAAAGGTACAAAGCTACCTTCTCTATTCTCTTTGTTAAACAAAGCAAATGCAATATAAAATTAAAGATGGTTAGTTATAGGTAATGAAAATTATAGTATTTAATGAGCAATGAAGTAATTCATGTGTGGATTTAGCTAAAAATGAACACGTTATACCATAAGATTAAAGCTATGAATACTATATTATAACGTTAAAAAATGCTATAATAAATTAAAGATAACATAATATTTTAGCTATATTAAACATATTATAGCTTTAATGAAACGCTATAAAATATTTTTATAAAAACGTATATAACCTATAGTTTTATACTCTATTATAGCATCTATTATAGTTATAAAAAGATGCTACAAAAAGTCTTAGACTTTTAGTAACATGGATTGTCACAATGTACAAAAAAACACTAAAAAAAAGTCTACGATAACGTTTTTTGTATGCTACTATATCTATTATTTCTTGTAGTGGCAATGTCCTTGCACGACGAAGATGGTAGAAGGAACGATAATAAAAAAAATTCTTCTCAAGCTCACTTGTCATATTTGAAAGGTTTGAGTGAGGGTAAATCAAGGGAGAGAGACCAACTATTAATGGGAAAGCTCTCCTGACTTTACATTGGGCTTCTCTATAATTTTGATATGATATGGTCCACTTTAAGCCTAAGTTTTCATGACTTTACATAGGGCTTCTTTATAATCTTGATATGATATGATCCACTTTGAGCCTAAGCTCTCATGGCTGCTTCCCCGTATCCTTATAAACTTATGATACTCTCATGGGTTTACTTTGAATTCTCTCATATTCATTACTTATAAACTCGTAATTGTCTTCGTTGGATTATTCATATTCTTCTTAGTTATCCTTTAAAAAAGAAAAAAAAGGGCTTCCTTGAAAATTATTATTATTAAAATATATTTTTCTTTGATTTCTTCTTTGATGTTTATTCCTTTTAACGATCTGTCTCAGCTAAGATATCTATCTTAAAATACGAGATTACTAATAATTACACGTAACCTTACTTTTCTTGACGGCTACAGTCTTCTTTATTTTATTTTATTTTATTTGCTTTCTCACATTTATTTAATATTTGACTCAAAAAGAGAATATAGTTTATTAGTTTATTTAATTTTTCATGGGAGATATCTAAGCACTTACCTATCGAACTATATCATTGTCTCCTTCGACCACTCTTCTTTTATACCCATACGTTAAGGCTCACAACTTCAAACCTTTACAATAATATGATATTATCCATAGTAAATTTTTATTTTTTTATTTTTTATTTTTCTAAAAAATTGTGTACTAATAGAGATAATCTCTTATTTATATATTCATGACCTTTTCCTTAATTATATAATTTTTTACCTCAACCATGTTGATATATTCTCGAACTTTTAAAATATTTAATAAATTATTTATTTTTAATTTTGTGTCTAATATATTTGAGATGTTAAAATTTTAATTTATCAATGAAATATAAACTTACATTCTATTAAAAATTAAAAATTAGAATCTATTAACAATCAAATGGATAGTTCATAAAATTTAGAGAATGATCATGAGTTTATAAGTGAGAAACACTAACTTTATTAGTATGAAGCTTCTTGTGGAAGCCCAAAACAAGGCCATGAGAGCTTATGCTCAAAGTGGACAATATCATACTATTGTGGAGAGTCATGTTCGTCAGTTACATTTTTTTTTTTAGTTTTTTAGTTTGACTAAGTGGATAGAAAGCATATACACAAGATTCCTTTCATCTTAAGTTTGGGTAAATCAAGTCAAACTTGGCTACATCAATTTTTCCACATTCACATTTAATCCATTATTTTCAAAGCAAGAGTCCCTTTGGATATAAAGATGGCCATGAAGGAGAAGCCAAAGCCAAGCCCAAAGCGGCAACCATGGATATGCTCTTCCTTTCCATTTCCCTCTCTATGCTATCTATCTTTCTAGCCTTGAGCTTTCTTCTTCGACCACCTCGCCAAAACCTTCCACCAACACCATTTTTTTCTCTTCCAATTATTGGTCATCTCCATCTCATCAAACACCCTCTCCATCGAATCCTTCACAACCTCTCCAAAACCTATGGCGACATCTTCTCCCTCCGATTTGGTTCACGGCTCGTTGTAGTTGTATCATCGCCTTCGGTCGTACAAGAATGCTTTACAAAGAACGATATTGTTCTTGCAAATCGCCCATTGTTGGGCACTGGAAAGCACTTAGCATACAACCATACCACCATGGCCGTCGCCCCTTACGGCGATCACTGGCGAAACCTTCGTCGAATTGGTGCCCTCGAGATTTTCTCTATGAGTCGGCTAAATCTATTCATGGGAATTCGAGAGGATGAAGTTAAACGCTTGATGCTTTGATTACGTGGGAGTTCGTTGGAAGAATTCACACTAGTCGAGCCCGAGACCATGTTCTTAGATCTTATGTACAATGTTATTATGAGAATGGTGGCGGGGAATAAGCCTTACGAACACGATAAGGGACGATCGAGGGAATTTAGAGAGCTCGTGACAAAGATTATGGCGGTTGGTGGGACAACAAATCCAGGAGACTTCATACCAATATTGAATTGGATTGATCCCACAGGTTTAGAGAAGAAGATTATGAAGCTTGGACGGAAAATGGATGAACTTCTTCAAGAATTAGTTGATGGGATAAGATATCAAAAGGGTACAGGAAACACTATGATTGATCGCTTACTTCATTTGCAAAAAACTGACCCTCAAAATCATACCGACCAAATTATCAAAGGCCTAATACAAGTATGTATATTCCACTCTTTCTCCTGTGATATTGTCTTTGAACATGGCTTTACTTATCGTTTCTCCGAAAGGTTTCATTCCAATGGAGTTGTATTCCTTACTTATAAATCCATGATCATCCTCTAAATTAGCCAACGTGGGACTCTCTCTAAAACAAAGTACACTATAAAGCCTCTGTTGAGGCCTATGGATTCCTCAAAGAGTGTGATGTCCCACATTGGTTGGGTAGGAGAACAAAACACTTTTATAAGGGTGTGTAAACCTTCCCCTAGCAGACGCGTT